TGACTGGGCCTATAATAATGATAGTTGCACTGCTCACATTCTTGGCCATGTTGAAATATGGATTTTTACAGACTCACTTAAATAGTATACACATTCGCAGGCATATATTTCCGATTACAATAACAGGGTGCCTCCATGCGCTTATTTTACAAAATTATTTTCTAATATTCTGTTGCTAAAACTAATATACAATCCCAATTAGGTTTATTTGCATATCATTTGCAAATATCAGAGTTGAAGAATGTGAAACGAAATTCGAAGCAGCAAACCAGTTTAAAATATGCCAGACCGAGAATACCAAATGAATTTGCATGTTTTTGATTCAAACTAAGGGTCCGGCTGATCGAACCGCAATGAGAGCACCCTGTTCCTGCAACAAATAAAACCGCAAAATTGCAATAATTGGATTACGCAAATCCGTTATGCTCCGCAGCAATTTTACCTTGAGGTGGCAGCCAATTGCACTTGATTAGAGCTGCACAAGTCGGTTTGTACTGATAACAATCGGTTGACTATGTAATACATCAGTGACCTTGCTCTCGGAGCATCACGTTTTTATTACACGACATCGTTTTCTAGAATATGTATTTTGATTTCTGTAACCAAACTGCGCAGCATAACTATAGCAGAATGTGAACTTCCGATTCGGGGGAAAGATAGTGCTATCTATAAAGTTAACAGAGCACCGCTAACAGACCACTGTAAACCGCACTATATAAGACCCGGCGAAACCCAAGCAATTTTTTCAGTCTCGCTCGAAACGTTGACGTGTATATTCGAATCCCTATTTTGGTTTGTGCGTATATTTGTTTTGGTTAATAGTTTGTGAGTCAAAGGACATTCAAGAGGTGACATCATGCCGCCCACCATTACCGATAATCAAACGCACGACTTCAAGGCCCACTACGACAGCGCCCACAGGTCCTCGCTGCAGGACGATGAGACAGATGATGCACACGTGAAAAGGATAACACGGTAAGGATGCTAGAAACCGGTTTTCGTCCTGCAGCTGCTGCTTGAAGGGCAGGCGTGGCTGCCTGGCGGGAGACAATAGAAAGAAATTCTTGGCCTTTCCAAATTCCAGGCCTTTCCAACAGGATTAAAAACACATCTTATTAAAATATGTTATTATTTTTAAAATATCACACACACGAAGACAACCAGAAAACAATTTTATTTTCTATTTAGAAATCGGTGAATAACAAATTAAAGCAATCTATGCATCAATGCACTGCATTGCGGTCTTTAGTTAGCCCGATGACAAATCGCTGTGTTGGCACAAAACCACCTCTTTTAGTTAATCACCAAGAAAAACTGCCTATGCCAGAGTGAAAAAAGCAAAACAAAATACTAAGCAAACGAAACGCTTCGCCAGTTGGCCAAATATTTGAGCAGGCCAGTGGGTGTGTCGCCTACTTGATTACCCTGTATTCATTTCAGCGATTGCGTTTCATGTGATCCGGTTTCGCAACTCATTAAATCATGAATTCTGCTCATACCGCTATACATTATCATCGGATGTTTGTTGGTGCTCTGACGAAATATTTTTCGCTTATCAATCAAGGTCAAGACTACACCGGGGTTTTTATTTTTGCCTATGTTCAAGTCTCTGAAATTTTGCCTAGCATGTTTTTTTTTTCCGCCACGCCATTTGACGCACTTGATAATGGTAATAGTCATTATCAAATGCGTCAAATGGCGTGGACCCCTGCTTTGAAGAGGGGGGGTCTCTATAAATAATGTCACTAATACATAAAAGTTTGCTGATGCGAAAACTGACATTTGAACCGACAAATGTATACATAATCCACTATATGCTTAATCACGATTGTGCGACGAAATGTGCCTAATGAATCTGTGTTTCAAAAAATGTTTTTTCTAAAATGGTAATAATTGCCATTATAACTATATAAAGACTCGCAAAACTTAAAAATATAATACCTCTAAGATAAAGTCACTGATGACGAATTTGTTCCTGCCTAACTGATGATTAACATTTTGGGGGCTTGTTCGTGCAGCCATTATTCTGGGAAATAGATAAGGTTATCTTTTATCAGAAAACGACTATTTTAAGTGGGCTGTACACTTGCCAGCTGAAAGTAATTAACCCATTCATTTTCTTGGCCCGCAGTAGGCGTAGATTTATGGCCCCACATGTGATGATTAAAACAAAGCCGACACGTTTCTTAACCCAATTTGCATTTGCTTCGATTGCAGGTACTCCGATGGCACCGTCAAACTGCGCAACTCAAACATTGAGCTCATGGACCAGGATATCCTCTATCACCTGGCATTGGGCAGCGAGAGCCACGACCTGCAGGAGATGTTTGGCGATGTTAAGGTGTGTATTCCAAACTGAGTCGAAAGACAAGTGGTAGAGACCAGACCCAGACCTAGACCTTGATTGCTATCAAATCAAGTGGAGCACCATCGAAACGGGTTGTTCAACTGTTGCCAATTAACTTAATAATATGCCTGCTCAGACAGATTTATAAACTAATCGAACATTGATATCAATACTAGTGCAGGTTCGATTTACTAGAGGAAGTGGTAGTGGTAGAAAGTATGAATTTTTACAGAATATATTATTAGTAATTATTAGTAATATTATTCATTTTAGCTTAGTACAATCATAGATTAAAATATCAGCTTATATTATAACCTTTTAAATATTTTTTTTAATCTGTAATATTATCTGCTTGTGAAGCAGGGTATTCCCCTTATTAGTAAACCTGAACTAATGATTTCCAAACCTTTCGACTTTCACGCAGTTCGTTTGCATGGGCGGCACACCGAAGCGCATGGAGAATTTTGCCCACTTCATAATGAACGAGATCGGTTACAAGTTGCCAGCGGGAACTCAGCTGCAGGACATTAGTGCCTATTCGTACCGCTACTCGATGTACAAGGTTGGCCCGGTTCTTTGCGTCAGTCACGGCATGGGAACGCCCTCGGTCAGCATCCTGATGCACGAGATGATCAAGCTGATGTACCACGCCAAGTGCAAGGATCCTGTCTTCATCAGGATAGGAACCTGCGGCGGAGTGGGCGTGGACGGCGGTACCGTCATCATCACCGAGGACGCCCTCGATGGACAGCTGCGGAACTCTCATGAGTTTGTGAGTATGATTGAATTGTTAAGCAAAGAGATATTGAAAAACAACTTTGAGTATCCATAAGGATTTAATGTAATTTTTCTAAAATCTGTCTTGACAATGTAAATCAAGTTAATTAATAATGTTAAGAATTTTTGATGTTTTGTATACAAAAATGTTTTAACAGAGAAATTAGAAAATTTTAACATAAGCAAATTTTTCGAATTTCACCAATCAAACTTTAATGTTTTTTAAACATTTTTTTTATATAATGAACTTAACCAAAATTTTTAATTTACAGACAATTCTGGGCGAAACCATTCATCGCCCGGCCAAGCTGGACAAGAAGCTGGCCCGTGAGCTGAAGTCCCTGTCCAGTGCCGACGATCCATATGACACCATTATTGGCAAGACGCTGTGCACCAACGATTTCTACGAGGGCCAGGGTCGATTGGACGGGGCTTTCTGCGAGTTCAGCGAGAACGACAAGATGGCCTATCTGGAGAAGCTGCGCGAGAACGGGGTGGTCAACATCGAAATGGAGAGCACCATCTTCGCGGCCCTGACCCATCATGCCGGCATCAAGGCAGCGGTGGTGTGTGTGGCCCTGCTAAACCGTCTTAATGGGGATCAGGTCAACGCCCCCAAGGAGGTTATGCATGAATGGCAGCAGGTGGGTCGCAAATTAACATTTCCTTTATAAGATTTAATTACAAATTTATTTTTTCTCCCTAAAGCGTCCCCAGATCCTTGTGTCGCGCTATATTCGGAAGATCCTTACGCATAATGGACAGCTTAAGTCGCTGTTTGGGCACCAGGGATCAATCAAGTCGCCCCGGCGCTTCAAGCTCGTCCAGCAGGAGTCTCAGGCCCACGAGTAATCCGGGTCACATCGCCAGTTTCATTTAAAGTTACCTTCTTACCATATATGTGGTGTTTTTGAACATTCCCTAGTTTAGCTCTGATTAAGTTCCTAGCTTTATTTCTGTGTTTATCGCCCTCAACCTCATTAGATAATTTAAGCCCGAGCATATTGTACGTATATTCATTGAGCTGCTAAACGCTTGAATTTGTTAACACAAATCTATTATATGTATACCTATAATATATACAAATTGTATCACTGAGTGTGATGTTCAAAGGTTATCAGAATTTAACGCTTTTGAGATCACAAAATGGTTTGGAAAGTAAGCAGGAAGAAAACGAATAATATAGAAATAAAATAAAATTGTTAATTGTTATGTTGCATATTTTAAATGGGGCCTACCAATAAGTAAAGATTCAACAAAAATAAACTAATTAAAAAATCAAATTAATGCTATATTTCGATTTCATAAATTATTCTCCTATATTGTATTGAAACTCCTAAAGATTTGTTAAATGTACGTGTTGATTAGTGTTGCTGCCGTACACTCAACTTTAAACAAAAACCTAAACAGCAATTAATCTTTCTCTGTCTAGTTATATCCAAATAAATTCAAACAATTGAAGAACAAAATGCTGAAAATAACATCAATATTAATACGAAAAGCACTTGAAAAATATACAAGTTGTATTGTAAAAACGAAATTTATGATATATATTTCAACGGTATATTAAAAACAAATTGTAATTAAATTATACAACCAACTTATAAATTTTTATTATTTTCGAAAAGCGGGTTGGATTACGAGAAATTGTTAAGCGTAAGTGAACGATTAGTGTATTGAGTTTTCAGACACTGTAAGTTACACCCATATTATGAGGCTTTACTTGTTGACTTACAACAAAAAAATATACATATTTTTCTTCCTCTTCCCCTTTTTTGAAGAAGGGTGCGAATTTTATTTACATTTTGTGTGCCAGCGAGCTGCAACGAGAAGGGTCGATCACCTTACAGTGCCATTTTCCTCAAAATCAACACGATAAGCAAGTAGTCAGTTGAGTATTGTGCCGGCAGTCAGAGCGAGTGGATCACGCGTCCGAGACGTACGTATTTTTAATTTACAAAGCAGCGTTGGCAGCGATCGTTGAGATCAAGAAATAATACACAATACATACAAAAAATGAAAAGATTGTTACATAATAAAAAAAAAAGTTCTCCATAACTTATATTATATTGGCTTGCAATCTATAAGAGACACATATTATCTATCTAAGCAAACTTACAATTTTCTTGATAGATATAGATAAGATTAGGAAAATGCCTGTTTTAATAGGCTCTCTTTTAAAGCACAAACAAACATTTGTCAAGGCCAGCCATCCAAAAAGCTAATTTTAAAATCTATCAAAACCTATAGGTATAAAATATTTCTGGTTTTCAGATTTCCATACTTGAAGAACATACCAAGGAACAATGTCGAAAAAGTAAGTGTGATCTGTTCTATAATCTGGAACTATTCAGATTGTTATTTATAATCCATAGTACGGCTAAATTGGCCAATCCGAATTTGGAAACCATGCCCTCTGATTTTTTGTACCACCTGGACATAAACGTGGCTAATACCAAAGACACCAGTGATATTCAGCAAAGGTTTGGCGATGTCAGGGTAAGTCAGTGGAATTTTATATACATTCACTGACTCTAGGGAGTTTTTGCAGGTGATCTGCACGGGTGGAACCGCTTCGCGGATGCGGGAGTTAGCCCTATATATGCGGAAGGTTCTCGGGATCGCGGATACCAGTGATCCAGTAGACTTGTGCGAGCGTGGCCATCGGTATGCCATGTTCAAAGTGGGTCCGGTACTGTGCGTCAGCCACGGCGTTGGCTCCTCGACATTCAGTGTGGTGTTGCACGAGCTGCTTAAGTTGGTCAAGTACGCCCGTTGCCAGGATCCAGTCTTTCTGCGAATTGGCACCTGCGGAGGAATAGGAGTTCCACCCGGTACAGTTGTGGTCACCAAGGATGCATTTAATGGCCTGCTGCGCAATGAACATGAGATCGTAAGTAATGTACAAGAATTCGAAAGCTTGCATAAATTATTAAAAATGGGATAATATAATCCCAAAAATTATTAAATTAAATATTTTGTTACAAAATGTATATAAAAACTGTTATTAGTCTATTTTCGGAGATAGTTTACAAGAGAACATCATAATTGTTTTCAGTGGATTGACTTTCAAATTTTATTTTACAGGCCATTCTCGGACAGCGAGTGGTGCGACCGGCTCAGTTTCCCGAGGACGTGATCAAGAACATTTTGGCATATGGTGCTGATCCTAACGACGGTTTCCAGACCATAAGTGCCAACACAATGGGAACAGATTGTTTCTACGAGGGTAAGTGCTGCTTTCGTTTCCACGAATCGCCGATGCTCATTGTAAATTGCTGTCTTTCAGGTCAAGGACGTACCGATGGCGCAATTTGCGAGTACACTGACGAGGACAAGATGGCATTTCTGCAGAAGTGCCATGACCTGGGAATCCGTAACATCGAAATGGAGGCCAGCATGTTCGCCTCGGTGACCCAAAAAGTGGGGGTCAAGGCGGGCGATGTCTGCGTGACTCTGGTCAATCGCCTGGCAGGCGATCAGGTGAGAGGAAAATCAAACACTTTTAAACCGTCAACTGAAATCGATTTCCCCTCAGGTCACCATCACCATGGATCAAAAACACGATTTCGAGCAGCGACCCTTCCTAGTCGTTGGGCGCTACATTAAGAAACTTCTGCAGCAATAGCTCTGCCCTTTTCAATTATTCATTTTATATTTTTATATACCCCAAGCACATTTAATGAAAATAAAAATCGCATTTAAATTTCCTGGATTAGAAGCTTATTGCTATCGTTGAGGTTGTCCTGTGGCAAACGCAACATGGTTTCCTTTGGGGATAGCGACAAAGGTGGCTTTTTGGGAGCATCACCCTTGGGAGCTTGCAACTGATTGCCCAATGCCTCGGCGGCTGAGACCAATTTGCTTTTAACCATGCGGTTCGGCTTGATCAACTCGGCTAGATCGTAATCCTTAGTGGGTGTAGTATTTGCTGCCTTGGTTGGTATTTGTTTCTTGGCCACAGGTTGTGTACTTTTCACCAACTGTTTCTTGGAATTGGAAGTTTTGAGTTCCGGCGGATCGAGCTCTTCAATTATCAGACGCGTGGCACTAGCCGGAGCCACCTCACCCAGCTGCGAAGTTAGCTTCTGCACGGAATTTTTGGCACTGACATTATCCGGCTCCAACTCCAGAACTTTCTTATAAATACTTAAGGCCTGAAAAAGAGAAACGTTTAGCTGACATTGTAAGGGCCATTAAAGTGTATCACCTCAAGCTTTTTTCCTTCGGCACAATTAGCTTCTGCCAGACGGAGGTGAGCCTTAACATTATTAGGTTCCAACTGCAGACAGGCCTGACAGTCAGTCATGGCAGAAAAGTATTTTTTTAATTTTAAATCTGTTGAGAAGATATAAGTAGTAATTTCAGGATTTTAATAAAAGATTTGAACAGTAGAGACTTACGAGATATAGCGCGATTGTTGTAGGCTCGGGCTGCGTTTTCAGGATCGTATAGTATAGCACAATTGTATTCTTCAATGGCACTGTCATACTCTTTGGCCTTAAAGTATTCATTTCCTCTCAGTCGATGTCTTAAATAAAATAAAAATTAAGCATAATGATTGTAGAGAACTCCACATTACCTACCTCTCTGCAAATTGTTCTCGCTCCAGTTGGCTTAGGTTTTTCAACTCAGTTTGGAGGCGCTCAAACAGGGAAGCCTTTTCGTTCTGCAATTCTTTCTCGTTCGCCAATTTCTGGCGGCTGGTAATCCTCTGCTCCGCCTGCTCCTTGCCGCGTTCTTCATCCAGATCCATGCGGAGTATCTCCTCGTCGGGATCGTACTTATCCCATTTTCGGTAGTCCGTTGATTTGATCCGATCATCCTTATTTTTGGTTTTGCTCTGGGTTGAAACCTTAGCAGCTGGCTTCGATGGCTCATTGCTCTGCTTGTCCAACTCAATTTTTGACAATTTGCGTACATTTGGTAGCTCCAAAACCTGTTTTTCTTTCTTAAGTTCGTTAAGAGCACTATCCTTCGTTTTTATGTCATCTGTCCATTCCTTAAAAACACAGCATCGTTGGTATACTCAATTAAAAAGAAAGATTTAAAACATACCAAAATTGGTTTCAGTTCCTTTTTGTCCAGCACATTGCTCTGCTTAATCGGCTCCTCGTAGCGAAATAACTTGCTGTCCGGCTTAAGTGCTTTCAGTTTCTCCTCCGAACATCGGAGCAGGTCCGGATAATATCCTTCCTGGCCGGAGCGCAGGATGTGCACGATTTTCTCCATTTCCCGTGCATTTGTACATTTTTCCACATAGGCGAAATCCAGATGGTGAATTGGCATGTCATATTTCTCCAAAAGAGATTTCTTCTTTTCTGTTTCCATTTTTTGTTTTTCCGACTCTGCACTGTGAAACAAATATAATAACTTGACTTGACTTGTGTATATCGATCAAACAAATATTTTCATTCCGTTTACCGGCTTGCTTGGCAACTAATTATTTGTAGTAGCAGTTTTGGGAGTTTATAATTCTCCCAGTTTTGCTTAAAAATAAGTTTTCTACTTATATAACAAGTTTGCAAAAGCTTTTTTAAAATATTTGTGTACAGGAATCTTGACACAAATGTCCGAGCTCCTTTTGCTGATGATTTGGTGATGATTTGGTGATGATTTGGTGATGATTTGCTTTACCGATAAGCCCCAATGACCTGTCCATGTTTAAATCATCACCTTTTCATCAACAGCAATGATTTTTCCGCGATGAATCATCAGTGAAAAGCTGATGAACAGTTTATATGCGTTTATATACATTTAATTTACATGTAAGACCCAAACCGCTGCTTCGCAACTTTGGGAAATTTTTAAAGAGCATTAAATATACATTCAATAAAGAAAAATACTACGATCAACTTGGTGTTTGGTTTGTAAGGTTGGCGATTATACAGTCAACTTTATAAAGAGTTCTGATAATACAAAGCGACAGAATGAGGGGAAGTGCAAATGTATCTTTACTCTGAAAACAAACAACAGTTTATCCAAGATAGAATGAATCAGAGAATGTATCACCATCAGCTAACACTGAAAATATAGAAAAATAAACATTATTATATTTATTATAATTTCATTAAGGTTAAAATCGGTCCCAATAATCTATTTTTAGAATACCCAATTGTTTTACCGCCTTCAACCCCCACCTTAAACACCACCAGAATAGCAAAAAGTGTGCCAGCGGCAAAAAACTGGGTTTTAGCAGCTGTCTCTGTATCAAGGTTCTATGGTGTAATGGTTAGCACTCTGGACTTTGAATCCAGCGATCCGAGTTCAAATCTCGGTAGAACCTTCTCAAAGAATATATTTTTGTTTTTTTTAATTATTATTTTTTTTTGCTTATAATATTATTATGATAATTACTAGTTTTAATTATCTAATTTTATATCGAGAAATCCAAATTTTGCTCCTGTTGTCATGGTGGCGGTATTTGTTTAGTTTTGCGCCAGCCTGACAACGCGGTTCTATGGTGTAATGGTTAGCACTCTGGACTTTGAATCCAGCGATCCGAGTTCAAATCTCGGTAGAACCTAAATTAAATTTTTTTTTATATTTTAATTTAAATTAGTTGACTGTTAAATGAAAAGGAATGTATACATTTTCTGTCATGTTTCATATTTATTTTATATCTTACAGTACAATAAAAAGTGAAATACATTTTATAAAAATGAAAAATAAATGTATTTATTTGGTCAACTACCTAAATTTATTAACTTCATGTTGTTTCTTCTGCAAGACACATATTATATTGTATATTTGACGCTTTGCCTCAATAAGCAAATCATCATTCAAGACGGCTAACTCCTTTTTCACAAACTGACTGAATTCTTCGGCAGCATTTTCTTTTTCAATATGAGACGATATTAAGGGCTTGATCTCCTCTTCCTGGTCTAATATTTCAATAGAGACTGTGCAGCTGCTCGGATCGGGAGCAATTAAAGAACAATCTATGCTGGACGCGGGAGAGCAAGGCTGAATGCTATCTTCGAAAGCATTAACAACAGAATCATTTGAGTGTGACGGCTCGGTCTCGGGCTCTAGTTTCGGCTCCATTTCTTTAAACCAATCGGAATCCTCTTCTGAGCCGCTATTACTACTCGGCTCGGGAAATGGCTCCAACTTAGCGAAATCCACAGGACTCAGCATCCGTGCAATTTTAAAATAGTGAACCCACTCGGATTTATCTCCTACAGTATCTCGCTGGGTTCTGCAATGAAACTGGATGAATTACAAATTCTTTAAACGATTTAAAGGCTCTTACCTAAACGAGCGCGTGAGTGATTCAATTTTAGATTTTATATCACCCGGCAATATGTGAAGGCCGAGCTCCTGAAGCTCATTGTGCATGTCCTTGTAAACATCCATTTTCTTCCTCCCACTTTGTATATGAGTGACGAACTTTTCCCAGACTTCAACAAATATGTTTTCCTCCGCCGGCTGCCAAGCTCTTCGAGCTCTCATACGCGTTCTGGTCGTATTGCTGAATCTTTTCCTTTTCTTCTTCGATTGGGGCTTTTCCTCGTCGTCAAAAAAGTGTGCAGCACTCGCCTCCAGGAAGATGGCATTAAAGGGTGCCTCTTTACAAAAAAAAAGAATGAGTTTATAATATTAAAAACATTTTTTGACTTCGTACCGGATTCGCTTTGGGCTTCCGCGTGGTCATTTATATAAACAGAGCTACGAGTGACGTCTGAAATCGATAGAATCAATGATTAGTATGTGATTTTTAATTGAATTCGAATCGATTCTCACGAGAGCTCTTTGGGGGCTGCGTATAATCCTTCCATTCCATATCCTTGCCATCTTTGCAAGTACCATTCACTATAATAGCCATCGTGTCGAAGTGCCGCCAAATATTCGAGGTATCTTTTTCGTCGGAGTGTAACAAACTGGAATCAGAAAATGTTCAAACCAATTCTCTACTAAACAGCTGTATATACTGACTTGAAATATTTTCGTTTTAAAGACTCCATTTTAGACTTGATGCCGTGGGCGCTGATTTCTACGCCTACTTCTCGAAAATACGGCTCCAGTTCCGTATAGGTTTCCGTCAATTTCTTGCCAGGAGCAAACAGATGCAGGTTGTGCACCCAGATGTCGATGAATCTGTCCTCCTCGGAAGCCAGCCACTTTCGTCTGGAGGACACTAAATGGAAAAAGGTAAGGATTGAGTATGTTTGACGGATACTGTATCTGAAAGGAACGTCAGTTGGATTTCCTGACTATCTAACATTTTTGTCCTTAGTTAACCTAATAGTCTGTTTAGTATTTTCATACTACTTATTCAAATACATTTAATATACTGAAACAAGACGGAACTTACTTTTAAAGCGAGTTTTGTTTTGTTTACAATTATTTAGTTAATGGTATGACCGTACTAGGGGGCGCAGGAAACCCTGAAAACATGGATTAGGGTTGCCATATAAATACAACAATTTTTTTAACTTGAGATCAATTTTTGAATCGTTTAAATATAGCTGATAGAATAAACCCCTTTTATTTTCAACCATTAATCTAATAAAAAAAGACATTTAAAACATTTTTTACATCAAAGTTCAGTGTGGCCATACTAACCAGGCCCAAAAATCCCAAATGGCAGCCATACCAGGGCCTCATAAATTTTGCCATTACAGTTTATCGGCCGCCAAATTCAAAAATCCGTAGACACATCCGAATCAATAAAAGAAGTCAAGTTTTGAATAAAATTAAATACATAGTTTATTTAAATGTTTAGTGTAAGCTTTAAAACTTATTTACATGGTTGTGCAGCAGCGATACAAGTAATGCATTAAGGACACTCAGTTTCAATATCTTTCTAAGATCGAAGCTTATCTTCCATGTTCTTCCCAGGGGCCATTAAAGACCATGATTGGATCGACTACAAAATAGATTTTTGGTTCACTTAGTGCTAGATTGATTCACTTAGGATCTAAAGGTGTACGAAAGTATAGTACTTGACAATCATAATTATACAGATAATACAGATTTTTTACAAGCATAATTGGATATATCGCGGCAGAGATTTGTATTGTAGACTAAAACTGATGCCTGATGTGATGAACTATGTATTTTCCGGTTGATTTCTATTTTTAGTAGGAACGTTGCAGAGCAATGCCAAAGAAGCAGAAAAAGCGCGACTTACTAATAAATAAATATACAATTGCAAAAAGTAAGTCGGTTACCTAAATTATGCTGGCTAACTTACACGTTTATATCACTTTTCGCAAATAATTCGTTCCATAAAATTAATTTGAGGCCTTCGCACGAATACAAATAATGGTAATAATTACAGTAACTAAATCGCATATTTGGTTGAAATCAATGTGAGTGTTCCCCAAGTATTCGCCGATGTTGATCTAGAAGATGTTGATCTCGAACTCGCTGACGATGCCCTCGAGGAAGCTCTTGAGGCTGTGGTAGGAGTGACTGTGCCAGTGGATATTATTGCTGACCTGCTCCAGGGCCAAGACGATGGCCGATTCCACAGCTTTGAGGCCCAGTTTCCGGCAGGTGTCGGCCAAGTCCAGAAGCTGGTGCTTGTGGTAGTCCTTGTTCATGTAGATGGTCAGCGACTTGATCATCTCGGACAGAGTGGAGAAGCCATCGCCGTAACTTTGAGTGGAATGGTAACAAATTAATATCAAAGGAATTGGGAAATTGCTATACAACACTTACTATTCAGCAATCTCCTTGATATTGCTCTGCAAGAAGTCAAAGGCTATCTCATGACCAATGGCATTGGAGGCCACTGTCCTGAAGGCCAAGGCTCCATCCTGTTTTAGTATTCCCGAAGTGGGATTGATGGTCATATTTAGGTACCTTTAAAGTGGGTAAAAGTCAGTCATTGAAATTGGGAGGGTAGCGTCTTGGGCACTCACTTGGAAAGCAGCCAGGGCTTTGTGGTGCAGCCCAGCGAGGTCAGTATCTCCTCCTTCTCCGAGGCACTCGTGGTTTTCTTGTACTGCTTATAGGCGAAGTACCATTCTGCGGAAGATCCCTCTGCCAGGGCGGTGCAGTAGATCACTGACTTCAGATTTGGCTTGATGCTATAGGTTGAATAAAAAGTTATCAATCAGAAGGAGTCCCCTTTTTACTTTTTGGTAAAAACTTACGGATTCTTTTTGGGATCCTTCATCCAGTCGCGGAACTTTCTCTGCGCCACTTGAGTGCACCGATCATAATTGAATTTGCAGGCAAAGTAAGCCACCAAAGCGCGATGTTTTAGTTGCAGGTGGGACTCGTTGTCCGGCTCATTCAAACCATAATGATCAAAGGCGGGTGTCACAATGAACTTCATAAAGGCCTGATTTGGAAAAAAAATTAATAAAATAAGTAGCCCTAATCTGAGCAAGTATAAATAATGCATTACCCTAAATGTCTCATAGGCAGGCTCCCTCTTCAGATTGTTTATGAGATAGTTTAGGCCAGGTTTGGCGGCACTCCACAGCAACTCATCACTCACAGCATTATATAGCTCCATGAGGAAGGTCAATCTATGCGGAAATCAAATTGCCAAAAGGTATGTTAAATAAATTTCAGCAAAATAACAGACGTTTTAGTTGCAAAAAGAAAGTAAAACAGTAAAACAAAAAATGTAGTTACACTATCTACATGTTTTGTACTCAATTTAATTTTAACAAAATGTTTTGACTTCATTCATTGCGATTTTTAGTATTTGTAATGTAAAACAATTAAAACCTTTTAATAATTTTAATTTAAATATTTTCGGAATTGATTTTAATTTATAAAAATTTGAATTTCAATTTAAACCATTTTTAACTTAACCGATATGCATTTAACTCAAATAGGAACTATTTGAAGTATATTTTTTTGCTGCTCTAATCATGCAACCAAATAATTGTATGACTTAATATTTAATTTTATTATTAATTGTAAAATTTAGGTCTCAATAGTCAAATATTTATTTTTACTATTCTATTTCTTTGTCAGTGCACCTGAAACTTTAGCTTCTTTCCTACTTCTGTGTTATTTTTCTGTGACCAAACTCACGGTATGTCGTACGAGAGGTACTCCGCCTGCGAAAGGTGCAGGGCATCGTCCAGCAACTGCGCCCTTGTGATCGTGGGCAGCGAGCCGAACTTCCTCTTGAGGGCCAGCCAGGAGGTCATGTCGTAGTTGACCCGGTAGTAGCCCTGCCGGTTGAGATTCAGATAGACCACGTTCTCGCTGTTGTTGCTGCTCGCGAAGACGTTGGTCACGATGAGGTCCTCCTCGTCCTGGCTCCTCATCCAGTGGCTGGGTATGTTGTCGCCCTTGTGCAGCCCCTCGGTTTCAAAGGTGATGGGTATGAACCAGCTGCTCAGGTCCGCCGGATTCTTGGAGGGCAGCAGGTAGCGCTCCTGGCGCAGAGCCAGATCCATGCCACGTCGCTCCACAGTGACCACCGGATAGCCCGGCTGGGTGATCCACGAGTCCATGATCTCCTTGACATTCAGGTCCTTGGGCAAGGTGCCCTCCGCGTGGCCATGCTGCGTGAGTATGGCCCACAGATCGTCCCTGTCCATGTTCTCGTAGGCGTACTTCTTCAGCAGATCCCGAGTGGCCGAGCGGAAGGCCACGTCGCCCACAATCGAGTTGAGCATGCGCAGCAGAATGGTGCCCTTGGAGTAGCTGATCGGATCGAAGATGCGGCGCACATCGTTGGTGGAGCGCACATCGAAGGAGATGGCGTGCGAGGTGTTGTCCGCATCGTGCTCCATCGACTCCTTGAACTCCAGTGTTGTCAGGGTGTCCATGATCTGGAACTCTGGGTGCGAGTGCTCCAGGGCCTTGTAACTCATGTAGCAGGCGAAGCCCTCCTTTAGCCAGAGATCGTCCCACCACTTGGGCGTCACCAGGTTGCCGAACCACTGGTGGGCCAATTCGTGGGCAATGATCTGGGCGACGTACTGCATGTGCTCCGAGGAGGAGGCCAGCTCCTGGTCCTCGGGCACCAGAAGCGCCGAGTCCCGGAAGGTAATCAGTCCCCAATTCTCCATTGCTCCGAATCCAAAGTCCGGAACAGAGACTAGATCAATCTTGGGCAGCTTGTTCTTCACGCCAAAGTAGTCCTCGTAATATGGCAGGAACTTTCGCACCATCTTATAGGCATAGTGGGTCATGTCCACGAACGTCGGTCGCGTCCATATCTCCACGCGGGGGCTCATCTCACTGTCCAGAGCGGCATAGCGGGAGTCCACCATGTTGGACACGATGAAGGCCACCAGATAGGTGGGCATCTTGGGCGTGGTCATGAAGTCATCCCTCACATAGCCACGGCGATAGCGACTGCTGTGCGACTTGGGCATGTTGGACAGGGCCATCTTGTACTGGTTGCTCCTCACGATGCTGACCGAGAAGTTGGCCTTCATGTCGGGACGATCGAAGCAGGGAAAGGCTCGCCGGGCATCGATGGGCGAGAACTGAGTGCTGATCACCCATCTGGAAGGGAAAATAAAATATAAAATATAAAATAGTTTTCTTGAGTTCGGGGGAGCTACTTACTCTTCCTTCCTGGTGTCTGGATTGATGTAGCTGGTCTTGTACACGCCCTGCAGTGTGTCCGTCACCTGGCTGATGAAGTCCAGGCTGAGCAGCAACTTCAACTGGGTTTCTTCGGCCAAGGCCTTGTCCAAACTGATGACAAAGGTGGCATTGTCATCCCCATAGTCGCTGTCGAACTCCAACTCCTGCTCCTCGCTGCCATTGTTTGCCTGCTTAGAAAGCGGTGCACGGATCACCCGGACATTGGAGATACTGATATTATGCACATCCAGCACGATGGGCTCCCAGCTGGTCACCTTGGCCACATCCCGCTCGATCTCGATGGTCAGGCTGCCGTTGCTGGCCGATGCCTCCACACTGGGCTCAATCAGCAGGCTGCAAGAAAAAAGGTGGGTAGTATCATATACTTTAGTGGGTATCATAAAAATAGCCAGGGAAGTGAATGCCAGAGCTAAACACTCGCGTTCAGGTGAAATGCAAATGGCTGCCAAAAATGTCAGGTCGTTCCCATCAAAAGTGCCAATCAATCAATCAGTCGCCAAGAGGGCAGGCCCGAGCAGATTGCAGACCAGCAGCAAACATGTGTGTTTGGCACCCAATCGACGGGGGCAATGCAATCCACACTGCGATCTGCCTCGAGCTTCGGACGCAGCCATTAGTCCGGGATGGCGGCAAATGAAATGCACGCCATCGGAAGCCGCATCAGCAATCAAATCAAAGCAAACAAGAAGCGGGATAATTGTCTAGTTAACACGAATTACGAACCGCGAATGCTCTATGATTACTCAACGAATTTCAATACATTTGTTATTGCTTAATAATCAACATATCAATAAGCATGTCACGAGGACCTAGAACTTTATTATGTTGTGATTTTGTGT